TCTCTGGGCAGCCTGTTCTACAGCATTGATGGAAATTCACGATCATGTACATCTGAATAAAATTCAGAAATTCTATCAACTTTTTGTAAAATAATTGCTTTACATCTTCACAGTTCTAAATAATTATGCTCTCTAGACTCTCTCCTAGATAGGAAATCCTGTTACAATAATTACGCAGTGAGATTTTTAGCAAATTCCCTTTGAATAATTTATTTTTTTAACATATATTGGTCAAATTTTCTTTCGTTACTTTCAACCGAAGACCAAATAAAATTTGAGCAAAATGTTTATGCTGCTTCTTGGAAGTTTCTGTCTATACATAATTGGAAACTTCTGGATAACCTCAATTATCCAAAAACATTTGTACAGAGTCAACACAGTTAAACAGGAAATTTTTTTTTATATAAAGTTCCAATAGGGAAAGTGCCAAAATTAAATAGGCAATGTAATTTGAGCATTATTGCAACAGGGTACAGGATATGCAGATCACTGTGATCCGTGTTGAAAGTTTTAAAATTTATTATTAAATAAATGTATCTGGTCCTTCAAAATATGAAGGACCAGATATAGTTTCACTTCAGACACCATGACACCACATCACCAAATGATGTCCAGCAGATCCTTATTAACATGTTAATATAGGACCAGAGACAAATGGAGATGAGAAGAAAGGAGGATGGATGAACGTCTCCTCATTCTCTTCTAGACTCACAAGGAAGAATGGCTCACACGGACTGCCGGCCACAACACACACATCTGACATCATTCTCAACCTCACAACAATTCCCTACAAGACGACTGAAACTGTAGGAGAAACACTTTAACTTTCAACTCAAATTCAATGAAACAAGAAATAAAGGGTTCCTAAAAATCTGCCCTTCTTCCAAGGGAAAGCACACAACAAAAATATTCCCTTATCCCCAGTAATGACCTAAGTAAACTATGCTTGTGCATAGGAAAGCCAGGAGGAAGGACAACTGTGCAGGCTATATGAAAAGCGATCAGAAGAAAAGGGGAAAGGAATGTTAAAAGAAGAGATACTGATGAGTGTTAAAGAGTGACATAAAGGGGAGTAGCAGCAAGAACCCTATCACCACCTCTGCCACAATTGTCTCCTATGGTCTCGAGAAAAAAATTCTTCAACTCTCCTTGGTCTCCATCTGCAGAGTGCTGCTATTTCCCTGTTTGACACAGATACGGCCAAGTGCTCAGTCACAAAATCTCCACAGTGAGGTATGCACTTCCACTGAATAGCATGCAAGTCTTTTTAACTTCTCATTTATATATAAGTTTGAATGAACTGCTTTAAATGAGATGCAGGGCTGCAAATGAACAGTGAATATAAACCTAGGTATTAAATGACTGCTTCCTTTACTAAGTTCTGTCATTCCTGTGCAATGAATGAGGCAGGGATCCTGTGGAAAAAAATAGATTGTAAAGCTATAATTAAATACATAGGCACAACAGGGGAAAAAAATAAAGACCATGAAGAACATTAATTTGGGCATTTCCTAATTCCTTACTGTTTCATTTTACAGTTACAAACTAGTCACTGTCTCCCACTCCTTACAGAGAGAAAATTAATTTCAAAAATAGGTATTTCGGAATGTGGAAAAATTTTGAGGAGAAACAGGACACATCACTGAGTAATCTGAATTACATCTCAATGAATGATACAGAAACCTCATATGTTTATTCTATACATATCCTTTCCTATGCACATATATTGACCCTGTTTTACAAGCCTCTGTAGATATATCAGACTGAAATACCATACAAACTGCACATGCATCAATCCAATAGAGTAACAAGAATCACCTATTCAGCAGAAGCTTCCACTCAGATTGAATCCTTTCATTCTCCAAGCCAATGAAATACTGGAGGTTGGTTAGTTTAACTATGCAACATAACCCATTCACAAAATGAAACTGCAAAATCCCCCAAACTTTCACTGAAGCAGACTAGCAATCAAGAAGATCCTTCCTTTTAAATACCAAGCTTTCACCACCTTCAATTGAAATGCTAGAGCTCTTCATGAGAACAGCCAAAATCTCAGCTACCTGAAAAGCTACATTTCCCCCCATCTGTTTCTTCTTGTGGGTCTTTGTTTTCAATGGCTTATCCCTATCTAATAAAATTTTCAGGAAACAGGATTTGTTCCTTGCCTGGACTCACTGGTACCAAGTTTCAGCTGAAATGACAAACTGAGCAAATTTTAAGAATCTGAAATAACCCATGGAAAAACTTGAGTAGCTTTAGTACAGACACTGCAACTTACTCTCTCTGAAAATAAAAAGTGTTTACAAAGTTCAGCACAAAGTTTAAAACATACACACAAAATTTTACTCTTGTTCATTATTAGAAAGAATGGATTATTAAGAACAAAGCAAAGTGATGGCTAACTGCAATCTGTCATCAGAGAATCTAAATTCATTCTTGTGTACTAGAATGCTGCTCCTACTACACAAATACATTTAGATCTAACAACCTAAAGCAGTTTCCTAATTTCCCTACTCATAGCAGGTACCTATTATTAGTAATAGGAGTTAGTTTTCCAAATAGGGCATGTGAATTTATCTTTCTTGGCTTTAAGAAGAACAAATACTTAAAAAAAAAAAATACTGAAAAAGTGCTGTTTGCTGCTTTAAATATAAATTTTCTGACATGACATTCTGTTTCATGGTTGTGCTTTTAAAATGTCAAATGATCATAGTAAGAATTTCCACGCATTTTGGATAAACAGTAAGTAAACAAGTTTAGAACAGGGACTTAAAAGCAAAAAGCACGAGCAAAACATAATACAGATGTTAAAAATATAACAAAAATAAATGATCTCAGAAGGCCCAAATTACTTTGCTTTATGTATCAGGAGATATCTCTATCAGGACAAGCCTAAGCTAATGAGGCACTAGTTAGAGAACAGATATAAAAATTATTTCAGTAGTACATATTTTAAACCCTGACTCAAAAGCTCCTGAAAATCTGCAATCAGTGAAAGAACTCAGTCTACAGGTGTAGGATCTCTCCCCTCTGGCTATTAAGTTAAGTTCACTCAGCATTTTTACTTCTAACTAGAGAGCCTTGAAGTCACAGTTTAGACCTCTTTCTTATTCCTCTTCTGTAAAAATGACGATACTTAGAGGTGTGGTGAATGCTTTTGGTCTTTTAAAGGTAATAGGGAAGACAGACAGCTACAGGCAGGTTAAAAATCCCTATACATGTGTAGCGACTTGTTTTTATACATTTTTAAACATAAGACGCCCCTATCGTTCCATCAAGTACTATTATGAGCTGCTTTTGTTGAATATTTCTAGCAGCCTATTGTACACAGTGCATCATGAGCTGCATGGCCTGAGGCCAGGAAGGAAGGTGTGGAACACGTCTTCACAGGTCGATTTCCACTCTCCAAGTTTTCAAGTATTTGAGAAAAGGTCGTGTTACAGCACAGATTTACATAGCAGACAAATTACATGACTGCTTCTTCTCAGCATTTCATAATTTCAATAAAAAAATAGGTCAAATGAAGGGGGGAGGGAACGGGAGGGGGGGGGGGGGGGGGGGGGGAATAACCCTATCCTTTCACAGTAGTCAGAAAATTAAACCAAAAAAACTTACTTAGCTGTGGTTCTTGCCAAAAATCTGTATTGACAGTAAACACAAGTTCAAAGTACTTGATTTACCATTCCTTTGCAAAATCCTTTTCTTTTTTAATGCTTCAAAACAACCATAAACAAACCCCAAATGTGCTATCTTGCTCTTTTAAAACACGGGTTTTATTATCATTAGTCCAATATATATATATATTTTTACAAACATGCATATTATCAAGGAATGCATTATTAATTTCAAGAGCTTTCACCCACAGTCTGATAGTCTAGTAGGAGTGTTAAGAGAAGGAACTGCTCTTTGTATCGTCTGTCCTGATGAAAAGAAGAATAATTTGGAATAACTTTTCCCCCCTCAGAGCCTGAAATATAGTGCACTTTAAAAAGGGCAGTATAGGCCAGCCTCAGCGCTGCCTGACATTATGTTTATACTGGATGGAGACTAAAATTACAATGTTCATATCTGGCATTCTTTGAGTACAAATTGGCAAAATAATTAATTCTAAAGTTTTTTTAGAAAATGACACTATGATATTTTCAGCATAACAACAAAACACTTTCCAAGAGCAGTTAAGGATATCACAATGTGAAACAACAAATTTAAAAGTGTTTAGGCATGTATCTATATATCTGTATTCCTCTTAGCTTGCAAGACTGATATTTGCACACAAATTCCTACCAGCATCATATAGTGTACAATTAAAATATGCTAATCATTATCCTAGATAGGTTTCAGGTTTGTTTCACCACAGTCAAGCAGTTGTACAGTTTAGACTGGCATACTGCTGATACTCATACTGAGCAAGCAGAAAGAACAAACATTAACAGAGAGTGACTAGCTTCAATAACTTCAATTGGACTTAACATTATTTCAGTTTCTAAAAATGACAAATATGAAACCTGATTTACTCTCAGCAGTAAGAAAAAGTTTTAAGCCGATGTATTTTTAAAAAGGACTGTAGTTTTAAGGAACTCCTGAACAATATTTTGAAGACAGATTCACTGTTAGCTAGATTTTATGTGCATTTAATGCCTATTCAACAAGCAAAAAGAAGAAACAGAACTTTTCGTGGAATCTGACATTTTCTCTATTTACCAACACAAACTGTGAGGAATGAATTTTACCAAAAAGCTTCAGCTTAGCATGTTGTAGCCCTGCAGCTGAAAATTCAGATGAAAAATATGAGAGTTTTTTTTCCTATGACACAAAAGGAACTTTTGGGAACATTTCCGAAGGATACCAGAACGCTTGCCTAACACACAATGGTTCCTACTCAGCACAGCCCTCCAAACAAAGAGTAACAGATGCACAACTGGTATTAATAACAAAACATCTCCTCCCTCTGTTAGTCAAGAGAGGACAGCTAAGGACAAATACAGTTTCAGGGTACTCACCTACTCGGAAGTTAGTGGCTGTCAGAGTGTCAGCAGCATGGCCATTTTCACTAATGAGGGTGGTGGTATTTCCCTTCTCACAGTTGTTCTGACAGTTGCCTTTGGTACAAGTCACTTTACAGATGCTGGGTGTAAAGACCACCTTGATGCGACCAGTGTGATTTCCCACTGTCAGCGGAGGCAAAGAAAAAAAGAAAAATAAACAGATCACTTTGGTATCCATTGATTTCCTTCAAAAAGTTTTGGGGAAAAAAAAAAAAAGGCGGGAGGGGGGTGAGAAAAAGGCGACAGGTCTGCAGGAGGAGGGCAGTCTGCAGTGCTCTCTCTCATAGATCTCCAGTGGTGTCTCTGAAACAGGAGTAGGAAGCTTAGCAAACAGAACTCCGGGATCCGCTCCAAAACCACATTTAAAGTCAAGTCACTGGAGTGGGATTAGTAATCACAATGCTGCACTTTATTCACAGGCAGACAAAGAGCAATACCAAGGGCATGACAGCTTAAATAGCCAACCCTGACAGGCAGATGTAATGTAAAGAGGCTGGCTGTGCACCTAGGGGTGAATAAACTCTTGTGTCCTCCTGCATACTTTTCCTGTTTCTGCACTTATTAAGTCACTATTTGTAGCTCGACCCCTGGAAATGTTTTAGGCATGCGGCATGTCTGAAAACATCTGTCTCAAATCTCCTGGCACCCCAGCCCGAAGTGGTCAAACCTTGTGACGCAGCTGCCTGGACCCATTTTTTCACAGTTTTTTGGCACTATTTCTCCTCAAGAATTTACATATTATAGACTGAGCTTTGCTGTCAGCCTTTGTTTAAGTAATACATAGCTCAAAGAAAAGGGTAAGTATCAATGCTTGAAAACACTGGTTCTGAGCTGAAAGATAAAAAATGGCTAGATTTTCTTTTTTTTTTAATATACTTCCTTACAGTAATTTTAAAAACTTGAACGTAATGAAGACTAAGCAAACACTAATTTTAAATTAAGCTAATTAGAAGAACTTCTTGTTACAGAATTTGATTTAAAAACAGATGTATTTGATTCCACATCTAACAGCTGAAGACAAAAAAGAGATTAAAACTACTCATTAGGAAAATTAGGGAAAAAGAACAGATTCCATTTGCAATTATTTAAAAAGAAAACAGTTTGCCCTCTGCACATTTACTAATAAATTCAGCAAGTTCTTGTAAATATATCACAGCATCTTTGTGGAAACTATTAATAAATACTTTCATATCAAACCTAACAATCCCCAGAAACGACGCACAGAAAGAGAAGAATCTCATTCTTCCTCATTTCATAGAAACAAAAAAGTTGCTAGATAGTTGTCTAACCTAGTTTATGAAATACCCTCTGGATGAACATTTTTTTGAAAAATCTCAAGAAAATGAAGAAAATCTTCCCACTTCAAAAGAATATAAAGCTTTCTTACTTCTGGCTCTTCATAAACAACTAAATTAAAACAATTGCACCGACTGTTTTGTCTACAGTAAAGGCATTGCTCTATTTGAGCAGCAGCTGTAGTACAGATGCTCCCACCTTATTCTGCCTAAACAATAGTTAGAAAAAGCACAGCCCAGACACACGAATAAAATATTCCAATTAAAGACTAGCATTGTGATTTTAGTTGATTTAGAAGACATGCTGGATTCTTGGATGCCAAGCATTTCTTATCATATTTATGAAAATTATTAATACACCTTTCCCAATGAACAGACATAAGTGGCTTGTGAGCTGCTGAGGCCAGAACTTCTAAGGTTTTCCTTTTGCTAAGCAGAGCTTCACAAGCAATACTGCCATCTTTGTATTTTATTTGCATAGTTTTATATTTTTATATACATATATATATATCTTTTCCTAGAAAAGCCCAATCCATTTTACATTTTGTATTTTCAGATGTTTTAGTAACATTTTTCCTTTAGGATGTGATCTAATTAAAAAAACATGGTTAGTTGAGTCACAAAACTCAGTCCTGCCTACACTGTAAAAACCAGTATTGGGGGACCCACACAAGTTTTCCAGCTTAGCTAAAAAAAAGGCAAAAATGAACAAGTCTAGAAATTAAAAAAAAAAAAACCAAAAAAAAACCTGACTTTGCCAGTATAGATGGAACTAAACCATGATTTAATTCTCCTTCATAACATTCTGCACTATGATGTTGAGTGCTGAGCTGTAGCAAAATTTGGGCACAATATTTATTACAAAAATATTTATTACATTTGATTTAAAATTTAAAATTTGAAATTAATTTTTATCACATAGTTCAGATTTTACCAGAAAAATTCTGCAGTGTAATTTTTTTGGTAGAAGAGACACCTTAGTGTAAGACTGAATGGAAATTGTAAATTTGCCTCTCACCCCTTTTGGGTGATAAAATGTTAACATGTAAGTTTAGGAGTAACAACACAGGAACAGCAGTTGAACAGTACCTTCAAAAACACAGGCCGGTACCTACAGAGGTAAAGAGTATCAATGAAAGAATATCTAAATGCACCTTTTCAGGGAAGTAAGAATTCTGAAAAACAACATGAGGTAAGCCCTAGCCCCTGTAAATACTCAAATCATTATTCAGCAATGCTTGTGCTATAAAACAAATTCAATTCTCACAGATATTCCTGCTTTACTAGTTGCAGAGAGCCAGAAATAAGACAGCTTCATATTCTTTTGACATGGGAAGGTTTTCTCCATCTCTCTCAGATTTACAAACACTATGATGAAACTATTATTTTCTTCTCCTTGCCTAGTAGGCCACAGCTTTTAACTTCCTCAATTCTTCTGGAGACATTTAAGAAGGATACAAAGCTAATAATTGCCTCTGAGCTGAAAATTGACCAATATATGAGGAGGTGATTCAAGACACAGACATTACCCTCATCCTTCTCTGTAGTTCAACCTAAGTAGCCAGTACTATCCTCACACATCCTAAGGTTTAGGGACCTTAACAGTGAGCATAATACATACAGATTGCAATTGAAAACAGACCACAAACCCTTCTCCTGAAAGGAAGCTTTTGGCAGAAACTCTGCAAGGTTAGACTCTTGGACTTCCTTGAATCCTCTCACTTTCTTCTCTTCTATAGTTTTTTTTCCCCTCTACTCCAAAGAGGGGATGATTTAATTCTAAATGAGAAACTATATCCTTCGATATCTCTTAGCTGGTTAGCAGCATTAATGTTAAAAGCCACAATTTCAAGCTAGAAAAAGCCCATTAATGCTATAGCGTTGACCTCTTTTGGTTTTGGGCTAGCTCATATTAAAGGACAGTGCATTTTTAAGGTAGCATACAGATTATTTTCCTCTTTAAACTCCAGAAGCTTTACTGATGTGACATAGACATGACAAGATCTGCAACATAGATTATCTCAAATTCATTTCTGGAAAAAAAATGTTGGTGCTACAGCACTGCAACATACCTGGAATAATTTTTATATATATATATATAGACAGCAATGTATCATAAACTCTTCAAAACCAGTTCTAAACCTGTGGAAATGAAACACCTCACTCTGCTCTGAAGTATAACACAAGACTGAAGAAATACAAATGTCAGACCAGATGAATAAATGAGCCTAATGAAAGACAACAAAAACAGAAGACACAAACACCAAATAAATAGCAAAGCTACCAAAAAAAAAAAAAAAAAAAAAGGCAAAACTAGAGATAAACTCAGATTGTTATTTTAATAAAGATAGGACAATCAGGATTATTGATACTGGCTAAAACTTCATCCCTGAGCTAGGCAGCAAATTCACAACAAGGAGGCTGAGCCAACTGTGCCATCATCCTGCCTTGCAGTCCAGGCTCACTTATACCTAAGAACTCTTAGATACATTTGTCAAAGGAGATCAGTGGAAGAACGTACCCATAATTTCCAAAACCTGTGAAACTCTCTTGAGCCAGTTTCAAAAAAGAAAGATGCCTGGGTAAAGTGATGAGATTTTAGTTGAAAATTGGCACCGACTGTGTATGATTTTCTTTCCATCTCTGTAAGTCACTATGATATAATATTATGAACACAGCAAGCTCCTGCTGTGATAAATTTATGATTTAGCAACAACTGCAGAAGAAATGGAAAATATAAGCAAAAGGAATTCTTCATAGACTCCCTTCTGCCCTCACTGTCCATCATGACAAACCAGGGGTTTTTTTCTGCATTAGCAGAAAAGGTGAATGAGTTAAGCCAAAGCAGGTGGCAGGTTTTAGGTCCAGGTGGTCACAACAGCTCACACAGCCATGCCCAGGCAGAGTTGTATAAGGTGAAGGATTCCTCCTCAACCTCCTACATCCATTTGTCTGTAATGCTACTCAGCCTTCATTTCTTTCTAGAATATTTTCTATAAACCCATTTTTTTCTTGGTTTTATGGCTGCCCTCACAGCTCCAGCATTCTGCAAACATTTAGCTAGACAGTATTCAATAGCTGTAGTGGATCTCAGAAGATTTGTGGCATGTCCGTTTTGCAAGAAGACAATGGGCTAGCAACACTAGTGAAAGCAGAACTGATATTCAGTTAGAAAGATGACTACACTGTACTGTCTCATAGGTCAAGTGGGGAGAAGAGAAGAAAATATTTTAATGTGTTGAAAAATTATTATGTTATTGTGTGTATGATTTTTTGTGCTTCACAGTGATCTAATTAAAAGGAGTCACAATAAAAATCACAAGCAATGGCTTATACTGTGGACTCGGCTGGTGGAGCTTACACATACCTCTCCCATAATCCTTGCACAAAACTTCTGCCTGACTCTACTTTTAGAGTGGTTTGTGGTTTTGGGTTTTGGTTGCGGTTTTTTTTTTTTTAAATACCTTCACTTACAACAAATATCCTGAGGCAAGTCTCCTGAGGAGACAGAACTAAGCAAACTGTAGGCTTTCCATTAGTACCTCCAAGAATGATATACACTACTCTGTTTTCATGACACCCTACTTCTGCACTGAACCCAGTAAGTTTTCATATGTGTATTGACACAGAATCTCATCAGACCTGAAGGTTCTATTTTAAAATTACATTCTCTTCCCAAAGACAATAGATTATCTCACGCAGTTTCGTGTTTTCAAATTATAACTATGATGCATGAAGACAACTTTGGAATGAAAATCTATCTTCTCAAATCAAAGCTGATAAGGTTTTGAACAGCAAACAGATTCAACATTTTAAATTCTCAGATGACCAACTCCCTCTCTTTTCTCTTAATTAAATGCTGACAGAAAAGAAGTAAAGAAGCAGAAGGAAATGACTTATTTCCTAAAACAGGTGTCTCCCAGTTATTTCACCAGTCCACCTGGTTTAGTCCTTACTACTAGATACGCTTGTTCAGCCAAAGGGAAAGCTGACATTGTATAAAAATCAACCACGTAAGTAAAATAGTTAAGCTTCTAGAACTATTGTCAAATGACCTTTTTACACTTTTGACAATACATGAGGAAGTTCTATCTTATCCCCACTTAGTCATCAATTTAAAACAAATAAAAAAAATCCAAAGCCTAGTTCCCAAAGATCAGAACAAGTTGAAACTTGGCTATCATGCATCTTAGTCTGGAAGATTTACTCA